GAACCTGCTTCAGGAGAATAAAATTATCTAAATATTTCAAATAATTTCCTCAGAAATTGGAAGATGGTGTTGACATATCATGGCTGTGACACAGGAAATATTAACATTAGGATTTAAAATATTCTAAAACTAAAACTTAGCAGAGCCTGTCTGACAGTGATGTACTCTGCAGAGGTGAACTGTGGCAAGGGGGTCCTTTAGAGTGACAGCTGCCCCTGATATTCCCTGATTTTATTGAATGTCTGATGGTGTTGACAAGTGCATGCATGCATGTTGACATGCATGTGTAAAAAAACAACCTTGCTTTGATAGGAGATATTATTAAGTGTTGCTTTTGATAAAACAAGCTCTTTTTCATCATTACATTTTTTTTTTTGTATCCATTTTATTGCATATGAATGATTGAACCCTTCTCTGTGGACACACTGTTTTAGATGTAGTGAGAGGACATTAAGAAACACAGATTTGGTATAATAATGAGAAAATTAAATTGAAGGTGATAATTGTGTTAAATACATTCTATTATTAATCCCTCATGACACTTAAAATTGAAAATATTTGTATTTTTAAACCTAATAGCAGTTACCCTTGCTGGAGCTGTTTTGTCCCATGTCTCAGGAATGACATGGCGCAGGCGTTAGTTTATTTGTATGCAAAGGAGTTAAAGTCTTTCAAATTGAAAAGGCGACAAATGATTGAATGAGTTCATTCAGGCTATTGTGGTTATTTTGTGTTGCTGTTGGTGGAAAAGTTCCGTCGACACGGAAACGCCTCCGTGTCTTAAAACTTTCAACGATCGCGTAATGCAACACTTGCCAGGACAAGTGGTTTCAGAAACGCGTGGCTTTTTTCTGCAAAAATACAGTTTAAAATTATAATAGCCTACATTTTATTAACGTTCACAACAATTATAACTAAAGTTATATAAGTTAAGATCATTCATTATAAATTAATAAAATAAAATTATAGCATTATATAGCTAGGCTATTTTTTTGTAACGTTTTGCCTATAATTATTTATGATAACAGCGGGAAGGAGAGTGATATATCTGCATGAAAAAATAATGATTTGTTTGTGCTTAAAAAATTAAACATTTACTGCAACATTAAATGTAATCATGTAATCAAATAGGCTATTAGTTTGTCAATATTCATAGCCTACAAGAATAACAAAGGCAACGAATATAATAACTTTAGTTGATAACTGTGCAGACGGAACGCATTTTGTTTTAATTTTAGCATTTTTTTGTAATACGCATTTTAGCCTTAACAGTTTGTTGGTATCTGGAGTAGGAACAAAGGTAATTTGATGTAGGCTAAATTGAAAGAAAAAGAAGAAGAAAAAAAAATAGCCTACAGTTGTGTTAGTCGCAGATATGGAGGGAAAAAAAAACATTTTCTCTGAGGATGCTTTGCAGCGATGTGTATCGTGAAAAGCGCTAGGCTATACAAAATAAACGTGAGATATCCAAAAAGTACTTAAGAGTGGGAGTCTAGACATGAATAATTATATAGGCTAACTGTAAAAATACCTAGGCTATATATAATTCCAGTGGCATTTCTGAAAAGTTTCCCCCCCCTGTTTTTTTAAGCACAATTCGTTGTAAAAAATGTAAATAAAAATTCAGCAATATTTTCCCTGCATTGCTTCTGTAAGAGTCTTTCGTGAATTAAGAGGCAGAATCAACAGGTGTTTCTCATATCAGTGTCAGCACGTTCAGACAGTATGAACCGTGTGAAATGATGGAGGTGAACAGACATTTCTCTCGGTTTTGTTACAGAACGAGTGAGAAAGACAGCTCTTTCCAGACAGCAGCAGCAGCAGCAGTTTTGTTTGACATTATGATGCTTATTACAGATGGACCGCTGCTTTGATGTTCGTGGCGCACTGGACTCCTTCATCGAGCTCAGTGTCGGGTTTCTGCTTTTCAGAGCCGTGTGTCCGCTGTCCAAATGATTATCATTTTCCCATGTATGAGAGTAAATATAACTCTGCAGAGGATCCGAGATAACAGCCGCCGCGTTCAAAGCGTGAGGGATTATGTAAAGGAAATATAGAGATCTCCACTGGAAAAAGCTTTGAGCTCTTTTGGGTTGGGGACCTTGATCAAAGGGAAGAAATGAGAACAACTGCTGCTGGCTTTAAAACAGAGGGATACAACAGAATATCAAGATAAACAGACTGCACAGTGGGAAGTGGGTGCATATGACACCTGTGAACTGGGGATAGATAGATAGATAGATAGATAGATAGATGGATCTTAATACGCAGTTTTTGCGTGCATATGATACGCACTTTGTTGGCGTGCATATGATACGCATTTTGGCTTACATATAGTACGCACCTACCCCACACCCCTAAACCTACAAATTACGTATCATATGCACGCCAAAGTCCATTTTTGCGTATAAATAGTACGCCAAATAGAAACAGAAAACCGTGCCACTGAAACGCACATTCATGAGATCGGGTTATGATATTTCAGCGTGCTCTCTCTCTGTGTTTGTTTGTGTGTGTAACACGTGTAAAAAAAATGTTTATTAGTATTTTGTTTTATTTTATAAACGTTCTACACTCTAAAAAATGCTGGGTTGTTTCAACCCAACTTTGGGTCAAATGTGGACTAACCCAACCGTTGGGTTACATTTTTACATTACATTTTTTAACCCAAAAGTTGGGTTACTCCATATTTGACCCACAGTTGGGTTGAAACAACCCAGCATTTTTTAGAGTGAACAGATTAAACAAATGTGCGACTTCTTTTACAAATGGAAAAGCTGCGCAATAAGCTTTGTCTCTAAAATGGTCAATTCGGTCAGCATGGGCCAGATTTTGTTATTTACAAAGGTGATAATGATCATCCTCGTTTACAAGAGAAAAGAGTCCGAGTGTTTCTGAAACTCATTCTGAAATATTCATAATACAATAGGCCTACATTTTAACATGGAGCAGGTGTTATTTGTTTACAAAAGAGTTAACGTCATTCAAATTGAAAAGGTGACACGTGGTTTAATGATTTCATTTATTGCGGTTATTTTGTGTTTCTGTTGGTGGAAAACTTCTGTCAATACGGAAACGCCTGTGTGTCTTAAAACTTTCAACGATCGCGTAAAGCAACTATTTCACTTGCCAGGACAAGTGGCATCATTCATTCACATATGAAGGGCAAAGTTAAGCGCTTTACTAGTAAAAGCTAGCCTACAGCGAATCAGAAGCGCGTGGCTCTTTTTTTCGGAGTAATTTAATAAATAAACAAATAAATAGCTTAACTTCATAATACATTTTATTAATATCTAACGTTCACAACAATTATTACTAAAGTTATATAAGTTAAGATCATCGACTAACATTCAAATAATTTGATTAGACTATAGGCTTCATTAAAAATACAATTAATAATTTTGAAAGCATTATAAAGCTAAATAGTTTTTATATGGTGTTGCCTATAATTATTAATGATAACAGCGGGAAGGAAGGACAACCTAGTCCTATATTTCTAGTGGTATATCTGCACGATAAAAAAATGACTTGTTTGTCTGTGCTTAAAAATTAAACCTTTACTGCAACTTTAAATGTAATCATGCAATCAAATATTCGATTGTCAATAATTACACACTTCTATAAAGAATAACAAAGGCAACGAATATAACAATTTTCTAGAATTGATAACTGTGCAGGCGGAAAGCATTTTGTTTTGTGTTTATCTTGAGCAGTTTGATAGTTTCTGGAGTTGGAACAACGGTAATTTTATTTAATTTGAAAGAAAAAAAAAGTAGCATACAATTGCGTATTAAACCCTATTGCCACAACTATTCTAAAACATACTTAAAAGTGCAATCTAGACTTGAATAATTGGCGATATAACTGTAGAAATGCCTAGATAATTCCAGTGGCGTTTCTGAAAAAGTGTATTTATTTTTATCTAATTCCTGCCCTATTTTTATTTATTTATTCTCTCTATTTCTAACGAAAATCGTTGTAAAATAAATAAATAAATAAAGTAACATTAAGCAGTATTTCCCTGCGCTGCTTCTGTAAGAGTCGTTCGTGAATTACGAGGCAGAATCGACAGGTGTTCGTGTTTCTCATATCAGTGTCAGTAAGTTCAGACAGTATTAACCGTGTGAAATGATGGAGGTGAACAGACATTTCTCTCGGTTTTGTTACAGAACGAGTGAGAAAGACAGCTCTTTCCAGACAGCAGCAGCAGCAGCAGTTTTGTTTGACATTATGATGCTTATTACAGATGGACCGCTGCTTTGATGTTCGTGGCGCACTGGACTCCTTCATCGAGCTCAGTGTCGGGTTTCTGCTTTTCAGAGCCGTGTGTCCGCTGTCCAAATGATTATCATTTTCCCATGTATGAGAGTAAATATAACTCTGCAGAGGATCCGAGATAACAGCCGCCGCGTTCAAAGCGTGAGGGATTATGTAAAGGAAATATAGAGATCTCCACTGGAAAAAGCTTTGAGCTCTTTTTGGTTGGAGACCTTGATCAAAGGGAAGAAATGAGAACAACTGCTGCTGGCTTTAAAACAGAGGGATACAACAGAATATCAAGATAAACAGACTGCACAGTGGGAAGTGGGTGCATATGACACCTGTGAACTGGGGATAGATAGATAGATAGATAGATAGATAGATGGATCTTAATACGCAGTTTTTGCGTGCATATGATACGCACTTTGTTGGCGTGCATATGATACGCATTTTGGCTTACATATAGTACGCACCTACCCCACACCCCTAAACCTACAAATTACGTATCATATGCACGCCAAAGTCCATTTTTGCGTATAAATAGTACGCCAAATAGAAACAGAAAACCGTGCCACTGAAACGCACATTCATGAGATCGGGTTATGATATTTCAGCGTGCTCTCTCTCTGTGTTTGTGTGTGTGTGTAACACGTGCATTAATTAAAATAGAAATTGAAGAAGGTATAATATTTCAACACTTAAAATGAAGAAAAGGATAGGAACTTTAAAGGTTGTTTTTTATTTTATGATTATGATATTATTTTACTCTCTCTCTCTGTGTTTGTGTGTGTGTGTAACACGTGCATTAATTAAAATAGAAATTGAAGAAGGTATAATATTTCAACACTTAAAATGAAGAAAAGGATAGGAACTTTAAAGGTTGTTTTTTATTTTATGATTATGATTATTATTATTTTACTCATCCTAGGAGTGGGAAACGTTTCATAAAAGTTGTAGGCTATATAGGCCTACCGTATACTTACAGAGACATTATATATTTATTTTCATACAGCAATATACACTCGTAAAAATAAAGGTGCTTCACGATGCAATAGAAGAACCTTTTTGTCTAAATGGTTATATAAAGAACTTTTAACATCTGAAGAAACTTTCTGTTTCACAAAATGTTCTTTGTGGCGAAAGAAGGTTCTTCAGATTATAAAAAGGTAAGAAAGAGATGGTTCTTTAAAGAACCTTTGACTGAATGGTTCTTTGTGGAACCAAAAATGGTTCTTCTATGGCATCGCTGTGAAGAACCTTTTGAAGCACCTTTATTTTTAAGAGTGTATGGATTTTAATAGAGTGGGGAAAGGCTGGCGGGGGTGAAGGGCCACAATAAGCAGCCATCGCTTTCTGGATCCCGGACGCCAAGCAGCTCAATCAATTAAGCAGTGAATGCGCAAAGGCTGAGCGCCTCAGTAACGCGTTTCCCAGTACAGCAGCTTCATTAGAAGCCGATCCTCCGCAGATTGATGCACAGACTCGGGGCTCGGCGCGCTTTTGGATCCAGGAGCTTTGTGGGGATGTTCGGCTTCACACGCACCGGGAGCCGCTGATGGCAGCTAAAGCACTTTCGGAAGAGCAGATTATGACCTCAGATCGGACATTAAAGGATTCCGCTGCCTAGTGTCACGGAGTTGTTGTAGCGCGACCACTGGCAGGTCAATGCCTAATTGTATCACGACTATTACAGTTCCAGTTCAAGTTCTAATGAAACCTTTACAAACATGTAGCCTACCGTTTTCGTCATAGAAAGGATAAAAGAAAGAAAATGACAAACATTCTAAAAGCTTCAGTGATTGCAATATATTCCTATTCATTTATTACAGTAAAAAACAGTAATTGTAGTCCTTGGCATTTTTTTTCTCGAGTGATTAAATACTTAATGTTTTAAGTTTAAACGTACAGTAGTAGGCTATAATGCATAATACGTGTCTATTATTATTATTATTATTATACTATTTAATTAAATTTAAAGGTGGAAGTTTATACAAGTGGGCAAGTACGTTTCTTGATTAATATCTAATAGGTAATGACGGCTTATTCTGCGGAATTTTTCATTTGTATATAAAAAAAAAGAAAAGTATATAGCCTACCAAACTATGAGCAAGTGAGAACACTTTCTAAAAATAATACAAATAAAGGACACAAAACTGTGAATTAGATATTGATTGGACGGTCGTCTAAAGCATGTTTTTGCAAAATTGTACGGATCCACCTTTTTAGAGAAATAATGTTCAGGTAAGTAGGATCTGACCAGGTAGACTTGACCTAGCTAGAGCTGGTAGATCACCTGCCCATTACCAAAGCAGTTATCATGTTCCAAAAACCAGCATGACAACCAAGCTATATGAATAGGAACTCGAATTCAACAAAATGTTAACAGTTTTCAATAGATTTTACTCCTTTGCAAATCATTCAAAAACTGTCCCACTTTTGCATACGTTACCCTACATTTTCATTATTGAAATAACATATTAAGCCTGTATTAGAATCCATACATAGGCTTATAAGTATACTTATTTACAGAAGCATACATTTTTTTGACTATACAAGCTTCAATTATGGCGCCACCTATAGACTACTGAAATCCGTGTTAGAGCTTCTTCATGTGTCTCCTGACCAGTTAAAAAGTATTTGCCGAATTAAAACAAATCAACAGTTTTCACATGAGAGTTGCACAACGAATTCAGACAGAAAGAGATCAGTAAACAGTGATTTTTATGAAATCAAATTTTGCACTTGACAGTAAAAATCGTGTATATACCAAAGTATTAAAACTAGTTATTGCTCCAAATTTTCAAAGACCATCTTGATGAATTAATAATCAACATTATCCTAACCGCATCCCAAAAGAGGAACGTAGTAACTAAACAAAAACCCATAAAACATTGTTTATCAAACATAAGTCACCTGAAAACTAGTTTTCTATTTTTCATAATGAGAAATCCTGAGAAATTACAAATCCCTAGAGAAAAAGAAATCTACCATATTTTGTTCTTTTATGCATTTTGCTGTTGTACAGAAATACATCTCAAAAAGGACATTCTTAAAAATAAAAATTATATAAACATAGGTATCCCCCTGAGATCAACATATACATTTAAAACAGGTCAGCACACAAAATGGCCAATTTATTACTGGTTTTGTATTTTTTTTTTGTTCTTGCATCTCTACAAACAATTTCCAGTCTAAATGCCTTGACCTCATGTCAAAAATGTGCTTCTTTGCAGTACAGTTGCACTACTAACTTTTTTTTTTTTATATATATAAACAGTTGAGATGCGATCTACGAAATAAAAAAATTAAAATCTAGGAGGATAACAAAAGGTTATTAAAACAGTTGATTAAAAATGCTTACAGGAGAACTAAAATGCTTTTAAAAGGGTTTCCATCGTCCCTCTCTCGAGTCTCTCCGTCTTTCAGGAGGGTGATTTCTGTTGTGTCCTCCACTGCGGTCATCATGGTGATAGAAGTCACCTCGCTGGCTGTCACGCCGATGCCGGTCATAGCCGTTCCCGCTGTTGCCGTGCCGTTGATCTCTGCCATGAGGGTTGTTATTGTCCTGCTGAAAGTGGCGAGGACCACGCTGGCCGGACCGATCATGTTGCCAGTACTGTCTGCATGCAGGACTGCGCAGTTGCTGCATGCCCTGCTGGAGACCTCCATTGAGCTGGAGCACCTGCTGCATCTGAACCTGCCACATGTTGTTCATCTATTTAAAAAAAAAAAAAAAAAAAAAAAAAAAAAAAAAAAAAAAAAAAAAAAAAAAAAAAAAAAAAAAAAAAAAAAAAAAAAAAAAAAAAAAAAAAAAAAAATATTAAGCCTGTATTAGAATCCATACATAGGCTTATAAGTATACTTATTTACAGAAGCATACATTTTTTTTGACTATACATGCTTCAATTATGGCGCCACCAATAGACTACTGAAATCCGTGTTAGAGCTTCTTCATGTGTCTCCTGACCAGTTAAAAAGTATTTGCCGAATTAAAACAATCAAGTTTTCACATGAGTTGCACAACAAATTCAGACAGAAAGAGATCAGTAAACAGTGATTTTTATGAAATCAAATGTTGCACTTGACAGTAAAAATCGTGTATATACCAAAGTATTAAAACTAGTTATTGCTCCAAATTTTCAAAGACCATCTTGATGAATTAATAATCAACATTATCCTAACCGCATCCCAAAAGAGGAACGTAGTAAGTAAACAAAAACCCATAAAACATTGTTTATCAAACATAAGTCACCTGAAAACTAGTTTTCTATTTTTCATAATGAGAAATCCTGAGAAATTACAAATCCCTAGAGAAAAAGAAATCTACCATATTTTGTTCTTTTATGCATTTTGCTGTTGTACAGAAATACATCTCAAAAAGGACATTCTTAAAAATAAAAATTATATAAACATAGGTATCCCCCTGAGATCAACATATACATTTAAAACAGGTCAGCACACAAAATGGCCAATTTATTACTGGTTTTGTATTTTTTTTTTGTTCTTGCATCTCTACAAACAATTTCCAGTCTAAATGCCTTGACCTCATGTCAAAAATGTGCTTCTTTGCAGTACAGTTGCACTACTAACTTTTTTTTTTTTATATATATAAACAGTTGAGATGCGATCTACGAAATAAAAAAATTAAAATCTAGGAGGATAACAAAAGGTTATTAAAACAGTTGATTAAAAATGCTTACAGGAGAACTAAAATGCTTTTAAAAGGGTTTCCATCGTCCCTCTCTCGAGTCTCTCCGTCTTTCAGGAGGGTGATTTCTGTTGTGTCCTCCGCTGCGGTCATCATGGTGATAGAAGTCACCTCGCTGGCTGTCACGCCGATGCCGGTCATAGCCGTTCCCGCTGTTGCCGTGCCGTTGATCTCTGCCATGAGGGTTGTTATTGTCCTGCTGAAAGTGGCGAGGACCACGCTGGCCGGACCGATCATGTTGCCAGTGATTACTGTCTGCAGGACTGCGCAGTTGCTGCATGCCCTGCTGGAGACCTCCATTGAGCTGGAGCACCTGCTGCATCTGAACCTGCCACATGTTGTTCATCTATTTAAAAAAAAAAAAAAAAAAAAAAAAAAAAAAAAAAAAAAAAAAAAAAAAAAAAAAAAAAAAAAAAAAAAAAAAAAAAAAAAAAAAAAAAAAAAAAAAAAAAAAAAAAAAAAAAAAAAAAAAAAAAAAAAAAAAAAGTGAGTGAGTGAGTGATGACTTTAAATGCTTCAGAGCATATTTTAGAAATATATTTTAAATAAATAGTTCAAACAAAAATCCAAGATGTAGATGAGTTTGTTTCTTCATCAGAACAGCTTTGGAGAAATGTAGCATTCCATCACTTGTTCACCAATGGATCAGTTTTACAACTGATAAAAACATCACAATAATCCACACCCCTCCAGTCCATCAAGTCAAGTGTTTGATCTGTGCATATCTCTCTCCTGATTCAGATGAGATGACTTTTTCACTGGAGAAAGCAATATTATAGATAGAGGACTCGTATTTTGTGTGGAGTTAAAAATGTCTTTATGGATGTGTTTGTTTTTCGCTGCACAAGATTGATGGACTTGTGGTGTGGATTATTGTGATGTTTTTATCAGCTGTTTGGACTCATTCTGACGGCACCCATTCACTGCAGAGGATCCATTGGTGAACAAGTGATGGAATGCTAAATTTCTGAGAGCGAGTACATTTTAGGCAAATTTTCATTTTTACTTTCTTTTAAGCGTCCATTAGCAATACAATTTACATCTGGTCTAACATTAACATAGAATTTTGAATGTCGAAGTCTGAATATGAGCAGAAGGTGTTCTCACCATGGCCTGTCTCTGCAGACTGTCAGGTGAAGAGAAAGATCTTTGTATATGCTGCGGAGGGGAGTAGGGCGGAGAGCCCATCTTCTCAGGGGTTCTGCCAGAATAGAAAATTACATCAGTTCAGTATAAAATCCCTAGAACCAAGAAAGTAAGTACACTACTGTTAAAAAAATTGGTGTCAGTAAAAAAAAAACTGTTTTTAAGATTTTATTTACTTATTTATTTGAAAGAAATGAGCACTTTAATTCGGCAAGAACTAGGCTGACCATACATCATCATCTTCCTATACATGTCCTGGCCGAGATTTCTATATTACCCCAGCAATTATGCATTAAAGGAATAGTTCACCCAAAAATTAAAATTGTGTCATTTACTCACCCTCATGTCTTTATTATGTTGAACAGAAAATAAGATATTTTGAAGAACTGAAACAGTTGTTGGTCCCCATTGACTTCCATAGTAGGGAAAGAAATACCATGGAAGTCAATGGGGACCAACAACTGTTTCAGTTCTTCAACATATCTTATTTTCTGTTCAACATAAGAAAGAAACTCATACAGGTTTGGAATGACATGAGGGTGAGTAAATAATGACAACTTTCCATTTTTGGGTGAACTTTTCCTTTTAATTGATCGAAAGTGGTATGGTAGTAAAGACAATTATTATAATTTTTTTTATGTAATTCTGTTTTTAATAAATGCTGTTAATTGTACTTTCCATTCATCAAGAACCCTGGAAATAATATTGTGTTTTTTACATCAATATTAAACAGCACAACGGTTTTCAACATTAATAATAAAATCAGCATATTAAAATAATTTCTGAAGGATCATGTGACACTGAAGACTGGATGTTGATGAAAATGTAGTTTTACATCACAGGAATAAATTACATTTTAAAGTATGTTCAAACAGAAAATTGTTATTTCAAATTGTAACATTTCACAATATTGCTGGTTTTAATGTATTTTTTATTAAATAAACGCAGCCCTGGTGAGCAGAAGAGACTTTTCAAAAAATATTTGAAATCTTACTCACCAATCTTTTGATCATTCTGCACAACCCTAATATTATACACTTGATAAATTATTAAACATTTTCGATGAACTGAAAATTTAAGAACATAGTAAATGATTGATGCAGTCATGAAATCAAAAACCCTCCACTTGATGAAATGCGATCACAAATGATCATAAGACACGCATTTGAGATGCAAGTTAATAGCATGTGTAAACAGTGATAGGTCTCAGTTGAAATCCTGTGACAGGATCACTTGAAACAGAGCAGGTGTAAACAGAAGCACTAAATCACTGCATTTAAATCAGAAGTTACCTTCCACCGCGGTGACCTGGTGTATTTGCTGGACTGGGGTTTTGAGAGTTTGCTGGACTTTTGCCTTCCTGACTGATATGACTGCTGCCTGTTACAAACAAAACAGATTGAGATGACCATTAATCTGGTTCTTACACTGCTGGACTGAAAATATATTTTTATATTATTATTTTTTATATGTGATATTTAGTTTTCTTTTTCTTTCAAAAACTCAATAAAAAGTCAATGTGACACCCATTTTAAAACTTAATTTCCGTAACGTAATGCGTTGCTTCAGAATCGCAGAAAGTTTTTTTCAGTGGGAGAGTAAATTACACATTAAAGACTTAATTTCCTCTTTTTTTTTTTATAATTTGCACACATAGGGCCTTTCGCACCGCGGGAACCTTTTCATAGTACCAGAACTAATTGTGGAACTACCCACTTTTTGGCGTTTTCGCACCGCCGGAACTGGGTGCGATTTTAGTACCGGACTGCCTTTTTCGAGAACCAAATTAGCTCCTACTCCGGAGCAGGGTCTAACCAGCACAACTGGTACTAATCGTGACGTAAGTAGACATTGATTGGCCAAACGCGTATGAAAACGCCCTCACCCGCCATGATTTAAAACGCCGTGTAAACATACTGTAAACATTGTGTCAACTTATTTCGCAAGTATGGAGAACAGCGATAGATGGACGGACGCTGAAGTGCAGGCACTTGTAGCACTGTCAGTTGTCGTTGGAGATTCTTAGTCCTCCTTTCCGTTCTTTCAATCGCTTTACGTATACGTCGACTTTCCATGTCCATTATTGTGAAACCCGCGAGACACAACAAAAACAGCTCCGATCACAGCGTCCTCCATCCTCCTGTTGTTAATGCTGTTGTTCTTTGTTTCTGTTGTTGAACGCCGCGCACAAATGACGTCGCTGTCGACCGGCTTACGTCACTTCTTAGTACACACTCTCGGTGCGAATGCAACCCTTTAAATGGTACTGGGAAATAGTTTGAGCAAAATCGTCCCAGTACTTTAGTACTGTACATTTAGTTCTGGAACTAAAGCGGTGCGAAAGGCCCTATTAATCACTCACCAAATTACCATAATCAAGTAAGTAAATGGCATCAAAATTAAGTCTGTATACAATCCCAGCACAACCTTAATTTTATTTCCTCTACCACTGTTTTCTAACGTCACATTCTTAAAGATTATTGTGGAAATGTTCCTAACTCATGAAATGTCTGTGTGTGTCTATGCTGAAATGATAGACAGTAATAAATCTCTAGTGAACACACACACACAAAAAAGGAAATTCCTACCGGCTCTGAACTGTATGTTGAGCTGCCGTCCATAGAGACGGATTCCATTCAGCATGTTTAAGGCATAGGGCACGGACACTTCATGTTTGAAGTTTACAAATGCAAACTGTTTTGATTTTCCATCACTGTCTTTAGGGATTTTGACTTTTATCAACGGCCCAGCCTATTGGAAAGGGAAATACAGGTGAGACTTCTGATTAATGTTACTTAAGCCAAGACACTACTAGGGTTGCAAAAAGGTGGAAAATGTCCAGTAAATTTCAGAAACATTCCAGAAATTTTGGAAAGTTTCCAAGATTTTTTTTTTTTTTCTCAATATTCCAGGGATTTTGCAAAACCATAGTTTTTTTCCCCCCCCCTTCTTCTTCATGCACTGGTCCATTTTGAGTTGCTATTTTGCTTGCTTTGTCTACTAGTGTCTGTAGATTTTAATTAAAATACATATCTTTAGAGGCATTTTCTCAAAATGAGCTTTCTCCTGCACTTATCCAGAAACTAAGCTTAAAAATATGCATTCCCATTTATATTGTGATATGGTTTTTACAGTGGGGTTTGTTTATACACCATTTGCCGGATTTGTGGAACATTTTATTTCTAAAAGATTGCGAAAAGTCTTTTTTCTGGCCGTTGACGTTATATTAAAAAGAGACATCCAAAATCTCCTCTGTAGAAACATGTTAACTGTAACATGTTCACAAAATATAACAAGCATCTTGAACCAGGCTTAATCCAACGTTCCGTTTTCGGTTCTGGTAATGTATGGAAATTCGTGCATAATTAAGTAGACAATGTATCGTTTGTATTTCAAAAGTAGCCTATATTTCAGACGTCTTGTAATATACAACAATTGCATTAATGTTCTGCAATTAATAAACTGGGGAACTATGGCGATATGTATTTGTTAAAATGGCTTGCCTTAACTGTAAATGAACTACACATTAATCAAAATAAAGACTTAATGCAAATGAATGACAAGAGCTAAAGTGTATTTGCATAGACAACAACAATAACTTAATATAAACAGCAGACCAATATAAGTTACATAATACTCTGGAATAATTGTTCAAATTAAGTGTAAGAGTGTTGAAAAATGCTCCAAACTAAGTTAATTACTTCGAACTCCCGCAAACAACAGAGACACGGGCTGATAGTATTTAGAAAAAAACTATTTCATACAAATTTTAAAATGACACCATCGTACTTGTTTGTAAAACATACATATGTTGCTTTCAATTAGATCGTTTGCAAATGGACTAAAACCAAAACAGCAGTCAAAACAACTAGCATTAGCATGCTAACCAACGACGCTAAAGCACTGACCTGTAAAAACAGCTCAAATATAACTTCTTCTGTTACTTGAGGGTCCAGGTTCCCGACAAACAGAGTCCGGTCAGCCTCATCGGCTATTCCCATTTTCCAAAATATTGATAGTCCAGCTGGTTGATTGCGTTAATTCTGTTAGCTTGCATTTATGACCAGCCCATCGGTCTTTAAAACGCGTTAGCCGTGTGTGAGCATTAACTGTCGTGATGAAGAGTCGCTTCACGACACATGCTTACAGTTCCAGTAATGACCACAGGGAAGCGCCTTTTCACTGTTTAAGAAATACAGCTTACAAGTCATAACTGTCCATAAGTTTTGTACTGTTAACCATAGGTATTACTGCTAATACTTGGGACTCGGTGGGCCGGACGACATGTGAGGTGGCTGTCAAAACCTCAGTGATAAGGTAAATACACATAACGTAGTTCCTGAAGAGTGAAAAAAGATCCCCTCAGACACACAATCCACCATTAGTGAAAAAAACGATGAAACACTATATCTAACCAGATGCTCTCAGTTTTACTGTGTGCCTGAATTAGATTAATTAAAAATGTAATGATTTTCCGTAACAGGCTCCATATAATAAGCTGAAATTCCTTAGTTAAACTACTTACATTGTTGTTAAACAGTGTTGTTAAAATGTAAATATTTTCAAACACCCACATGAAAAAATACTATAGTAACTTTAGTAAATACTATAGTGTTTTTGAACCATACTATAGTAAAGTAATGTTACTTGAATTAATTTGTTGTGGTAATTCTATAGTTGCTGTTGTAATATAACAGCTAGAGTAATAGTTACCCAATACTGTACTAAGTTTTCTACAACTATAGGGTATATTATACTACAATACACTACAGTTTACTGTAGTAAAAACTAAAGTATACTACAGTATTTATTATAGCTTATCAGTTCACTATAGTTAATACTACATTATGCTGTAGCATTCATTAATAAAGTGTTGTAAATACTATAATATATACATTATAATACACTTTACTATAGTATGGTTCAAAAACACTATAGTAGTTACTATAAATTACTATAGTATTTTTTCATGTGGGATATCATGCAATATTCGCAAATAAGTCACTCCATGTTATTAAATGTAGTATTGCAGGCTTAAATATTTTAATAAAAAAATTAATTGCAAACCATACTGAAAGCATATATTAGGCTATAGCTATGTAATTATATGCTATATTTTTAATTTTTTAAGAAGTACAGGCATTGTGACGTACATATATAGAATGACTAGAGCAATTAAATTAGATCAATAGATCACTAGATCAATTCAATTTAAAGGGGTGGTTGATTGCGATTTCACTTTTTTAACGTTAGTTAGTGTGTAATGTTGCTGTTTGAGCATAAACAATATCTGCAAAGTCACGAAGCTGAAAGTTCAATGCAAAACGTAGATATCCTCTTTTAAAATTCTGGCAGTTTAATGCATACAAAAACGGCTGGTAGGGTAAAATTTTGGCAGTTTAATGCCTACAAAAACGGCTCGTTGGGACTACAACGAGTTACTTCCCGCCCTCGGGAAAGGCGGCAAAGGGGGTGAGGCCATGCTGCGCTGCTTTAGAGAAGAGGAAGAGAAAACTAGAGGTGCACGTAAAAATCTATTCATATATGAATCGCGATTCTGTCTTCTAACGATTCTAATGGATTCACAAGATTCAAAATTAATGTTCTAAAGCAGCGGTTCTTAATATGCTGCGTAATATCATTGCGCCTGCTGCACCCATGGTACGGCAGCAAATGTTCCTTGATTATTACGTCGGTCTTAGTACACGATGTAAACGGTAAAACTCAACTGTTTAACTCTAGGGGAGTTGGAAAATGAGCCTATTTTCAAAAATAGTGGAGTGTTCCTTTAAAAGCCATGCTTGCACAGGTTCTGCACGATCCTCTTCAATAATATCCTCTGCTTCTCAATCGGGCTCAAACTGATAAGCGATATTAACGACGCCGTTGTTTACAATACAACCGGAGCACATGGCGCTGAGGTGAGGGGCGGGTGAGGTGAGCCAATCACAACACACTGGGCTAGCTAACCAGCTAATCAATCAGAGCCCATCGTGTATTTCTGAGGGAGGGGCTTCATAAAAGAAGGAAATGATTAGCCCGTTTCTCAGAGAAGGGACAGAGCGGTGTGGAATAAAGGTAAATTATGTGAAAAATAATGCGTTTTTTAAAAAGCTAAGCATTAACACATGTTAGAGTGCACCCCATAAACACAATCAAGCCTAGAAAAAAAACAGTCAACCACCCCTTTAAAATACATTAAATCCAAGCAATCTATTTATTTATTTTAATTGATCTAATTTAAAGGTATAAATCATGATAACTATGTTAGTGCTTTTTGATACCCCTGTCACGCCTCTTTTTTACTTTGAAATAATAGCGAACTGTTGCTTTAATAATTTGATCAAGAGGAAGTGACATCATTGTGTCTTCAGAGGAGCCACATTCAAAGTTTGTAAGCTGATATATCATTTATAATTTTGCTTGAAAAGATTAGTTCACCCCATCACATAAGAACAGAATCTGTTTATTTATTTATTTTTATTTATTTATTATTATTATTGTATTTATTTATTTATTTTTTGTGATAGTTGACTTTAAAATGCTAATGCATTAAGGCCACAAGCTTGATATGAACATGAAAACCAGCAGCCATTCTTTGAATGGTTGAATATATGAATATGATAGTTGTTGATTATGATAATTATACTCATCTTATTCTGAATTAGTCTCGTGCACAAGAGCGATAATGTTACTTTATTAGTGGATAAAGTGCTGGATATGTCTCAAAATTGAAAGCCTTTTTTAAGACTATTTTTGTTGAAACAATGTGTTTTCTGCATATATATAGAGATTAATAGTTTTGATTATTTTATTGTTGATGGTACTATTTCATTTGAAGGATATACAGTACTCAAATATCTTTTTGATTTGAGATTCATGAAAACTTTTAAGCAGCAGTGGTAACCGTACCTTTATTTACAGGTGTTGAAGTCGCAAAATATATGAAACTTCTTGCATTAAATAGTTGATTTTCTTCAGTATTTTATTTATTTATTGTAAAAATATTCATTGCTAATGTAACCTAACACTGCACTAAAGTGGCAGTTGTAGAATCAGCTTTTAAATTCACTTTCTTCCTTGAATTAATCATATTTTCTTTTCCTAATAATTGTCTGTAAATGTAATGACTGCTTTTAAGCAAGTTTCAAACACTTGTTTATCGCTGATTGCCTAATCCTAACCCCTCCCCCACCCCTACTCCTTAACCTACCAATACTAGGG